TCGATGTGCTGTCATCTATCAAATTGGAGTGGTACTAAAATTCAATATGGCCGCTTAGCGCGGGCTTTTTGAAATTTAACTTTCTGCTAGTCGCGCAAAAATATAATGAAGAAAATCAAACAAAAAAAATAAATTGGCAAAATATTGGACTAGTTTCATATCATAAAACAACCATATTGACTGTTTTGTGATTTGAAACTAGTCAAATATTTTTCCAATTTATTTTTTTTTTGTTTGATTTTCTTCAATATATTTTTGCATTAATTTCAAACTTGAAATAAAATGCAATTTATTTTATTTATTTTTTTTATTACAGTAAATTAACGCCGCATCATATAATTTGTCTATTTAAACATGGAAATAGGTACTCAAACAAATATGCATTTATACCATTTAAATAATTAAATATTTATAAAACAAACCTTTCAAAAATGTTTTCTGTAACAAACTCGACAAGTGCTCAAGACCAATATAAAAGTTTTGCAACTTGGAGTGGCAATAAGTTTGAAAAAACTGAAGTTGAAGCATCACCCTTTTGGTGTCTTACAATCAAGGCGAATTTGAGGGTGGATAAAATTTGCCATATGCTTATTGAGTCGACTAGTTAAGTTGAGGAACATTTCTTCATCCGATATTGTTTTATTGATTTATTTGTACAGCACCTGTAGTTATCAAATTCTTATTCATCACCTGAGCACTGTGATAAATGAATTTAACTTTCGAGCTTAAATTAAACTTACACACGTTTGGACCTTTGAAGATTTTGGGGTGTTTTCTTGTTTGATGTCAATGGCATTGAATCAAATTTTAATATTGATGGCTAAGGCTCAAATATTTCATCGATCTACAGGGCATTTTGAAGGGCCAACATTTTCTTTATATGATCATTTAAAAACTGAAAACAAAAAGAAATTTAAATAACAAACCAATTATTTTACCACTGAATCAAAAAAAAGTTTGTAAATATTACTTACCATTGATATGCCAGTACAAGATGCATTTTTCTTAAGACACTTATTACAAATTGTATGTTTATCCTTAACATGACGACCGCATATTTAATACGTGGTATAAATTGCATCACTACCAATATCTGGGAGTGCTTCATTGTTCGTTGCTGAAATCCATGTTCCCATCTCTTGAAAACATGCTTAAAATTGGAAGGTGTTGAAAAATAAATCTAGATGAATCAAAATTCAATACATCTTCAAATGCGACAGCCATTTTAATTTTTCGAAGTATGAAGTTTTGTTCATTTGTTGACAAACTGACATGACATTTCGATACGAGAGCCATCCCGTTAATTGGAGTGGTACTAAATTACCGGCCTCATGTTTTTCCATTTGAGTTACCAGCCCCTGATTAAAACGCACCTGATATTTTGCTTGCTGCTGTCAGTGTCAGTGAGTATTATTTTTGGAGTCACAGTTTATTGCTAAAGAATCAGTTAGCTCACTCGGACCAGTTGAAAGTTCCAAAATAACATCCACTCCAGGGATACAAATTCAGGATACGCAGAAGACTGCTGTTTTATTATAGGCGGTTGTCATATATTGTATTATCTGAGTTGCGCAGTGTATAAACTGGAACATTAAGATCAAAAGTGCCGACGCAGAGTGAGTGATCTGATTCTTTAGCTATAAACTGTGGCATATGAATCAAAATGGCCGCGCTTTATGTTGGGCGTGTCGGACCTCTCTCTTGTACCGTATAGTAATCATCAAAGTATGTGCGCCCAACATAGGGCGCGGCCATTTTGATTGCTATGCCACAGTTTATAGCTAAAGAATCAGATCGCTCACTCTGCGTCGGCACTTTTGATCCCAATGTTCCAGTTTATACACTGAGCAACTCGGATAATACAATATATGACAAAAGCCTATAATAAAACAGCAGTTTTCTGCGTATCCTGAATTTGTATCCCTGGAGTGAATGTTATTTTGGAACTTTCAACTGGTCCGAATGAGCTAACTGATTTTTTAGCAATAAACTGTGACTACAAAAATAATATTCACTGACACTGACAGCAGCAAGCAAAATATCAGGTGCGTTTTAATCATCCGCTTCTGCTTCCGGAATTGTCGGTTTGGTCGTTTTAACCTGTCAGATTAAAACAAGAAAACTGACAATTCCGAAGCAGAAGCGGATGATTAAAACGCACCTATTAAAAATATTGCGCCAAGATGTAGGCAACACGTAATAAGGGTTCAAAATGGCGGAGTTTTCTATCTCCTTTTAAAAGGCACTCAGAAAGCTGCGCAGTGCGACCATTCTCCGTATAGTAAAAGCAAATCAAAGTATGTGCTAATACCCTGTTAATGACAACATGCCATATCTAAAGTGGATCAGACAATAACAATGTGAAAAAGAAAATGGTTATTTTAAATACTTCCGAGTGAGATGAAAAATAACCTGTCTTCGCCCATAGAGTCGCATCTCAAGCCTATTGACAAGCATTCTACCCACATACTTTGATTTTCTTTTACTATACGGAGAATGGTCGCACTGCGCAGCTTTCTGAGTGCCTTTTAAAAGGAGATAGAAAACTCCGCCATTTTGAACCTTTATTACGTGTTGCCTACATCTTGGCGCAATATTTTTAATAGGTGCGTTTTAATCATCCGCTTCTGCTTCGGAATTGTCGGTTTTCTTGTTTTAATCTGACAGGTTAAAACGACTAAACCGACAATTCCGGAAGCAGAAGCGGATGATTAAAACGCACCTGATATTTTGCTTGCTGCTGTCAGTGTCAGTGAATGTTATTTTTGAAGTCACAGTTTATTGCTAAAGAATCAGTTAGCTCACTCGGACCAGTTGAAAGTTCCAAAATAACATCCACTCCAGGGATACAAATTCAGGATACGCAGAAGACTGCTATTTTATTATAGACGGTTGTCATATATTGTATTATCCGAGTTGCACAGTGTATAAACTGAAACATTGAGATCAAAAGTGCCGACGCAGAGTGAGCGATCTGCTTCTTTAGCTGTAAACTGTGTCACAGGGTTCAAAATGGCCTAGCCCTATGTTGGGCGTGTCGGACCTCTCTCTTGCCTCGTATAGTAATCAAAGTATGTGATTCTACCCCACTCCAGTTCATTGTTAAAATCTAATCGTACTTATAAATAACAACCGTATAAGTTTTTTCTATAATAATTATATTCACGGGAACCGAATAAAAGCTTTTTTTACTAAATAATCAGCTACAGTTATCTTATTATCGATTTAAATCACCTTATGCGCATGCCTAATCCACACTCCATGATCTCCGAACAATGAACTGGAGTGGGGTAGAATGCTTGTCAATAGGCTTGAGATGCGACCCTATGGGCAAAGACAGGTTATTTTTCATCTCACTCGGAAGTATTTATAACAACCATTTTCTATTTCACTTTGTTATTGTCTGATTCACCAGCTTGTGGATCGAACAATAACAATGTGAAACAGAAAATGGTTATTATAAATACTCCCGAGTGAGATGAGAAATAAAAATGGCTGCGCCCATAGAGTCGCATCTCAAGCAATATTTTAAATACCGCCTAAATGAAATCAAGGGGTCTAGGTTTAGAATCAATTTTACTGCAGGTGTAAACACTAATCATAGCTAATTACGGACACATTTAAATTATATATATTTGCCTATTTATCGATTATACACTAAAAATTATAATAAAATGTGAATAATATAAAAAATAGTTTGTAAAAACCTATTTAAGACTTATTTTCCGTTAACATAAATTTATATGACTGTATGAAATGATGCAAAAGGCATTATCAAGGATATCAAGGACTACAAGAGGTGATAATTTTTTGTTGTTGCTTTGGAAATTATGAGTCTAAATTTCACGAAATAAAATCCTCCTTAAAATATTTCGATTGGATTTTGGATTTTGTTTAGTGAAACTTCATTAATTTTTAACGAAACAAAATGTTCTCGATAAAATTCTTACATTATAAACAGAACATAGGTCTTATACATTGCGTTCGGTCAGCCAAGTTCCTTTAACTCCTTTAACACTTTTAACTCCAAACGACCCTTTTAGCGTTCGGTTTAATCCTATTAGTGACAGTTTAACACGCTTAAATGTCATTTAAAAGCACCCTAAAATTTGTCCCGCTCCAGCCCCTGACTATCCGAACTCGCCTATAATAGCCGTGTAAGTCCATGCGACTACTCTGGGGGAGAAACCCCAGATGCGCCCCACTTTTATAAATAACATTTTTTGTTTCCGTAAGATGGAGTCGAGCTTTATAATGTAGGTATGTTTGAACAACTAAAACTTGACAAACTTCTCATTGACTTTTTTGCGGGATTAAGTGAAAACACTAAATCATGCAGTGTTTTTAGATAGTTTGTTTTGATTAGCGTATGTTGGAATAAAAGAGGATTGTAAAAGAACCAAATAGTTTCACATGGACAGGATTTCGAAGGGTTCATATGTACTTTTACTTACTTAAATAATAGAAGACTCAAATCTTTTTACATTTTTATGTTTAAGAGGTAAAGAACCCAAATAATTTTACATGGGCAGACTTAAGGGGTAAAGGGTCCAAATATTTTACACGAGTAGGCTTGAGGAGTAAAGGGTTCAAATTCGAAATTTAAATAATTTGAAATCTTAATCAAAATGCAACATTGAAAGGTTCTAAAAAAACAGGACTAGGAATACGAAAAATGTCCACATAGTTTAGCCTAATTATCACCAAAGCTTTACAAACCTAAAAATTCAACGATTCAATACTTCTCATCGTCTTTCGGTCTTCCAATTAAAAATTGAAAAAAGAATTTTACAGGAAGTATTTTCAGAACTATCTTGTTCTAGTTGAGGTAACTTTAGTAAGCTAAAATGATCCTTAATATTATGGATCTTAAGGCAAATTGCAGTAAGGATTCATATTGTTGCTAAAACCCTTTAGTATCGATTCTAAAATTGTTGGTTACAATGTACTCGAGGCAGGTACTCAATTATCTATTTAAAGTAAATCTACTACTACTTTACCTTGGATTATCTCCATCATGGAATATATCTGGATGGTGATGAGCACCGTTTTGTCCAATAAAACCCATATAAAAAGCTCCAATGACCAATATAAAATTCCACATTAAAAGTACGCTTCCTAATGATTGTCCTCCAAAAAAGTACATAAATGCAGGCAGAGATAATCCAGTCAAATCTGTAAGCTTTAGATTTTTGTAGTTACATTTGTGGGCAGTTGTTAACCTAAAAAATTTAAATTTTAAGATTTGTCAAATAGGTGCACGCATGTTACTACATTAAAAAATCACTTTGTACGTTTTACAGGTTTGGGTATTTAAAAATGTTAATTTATTTTAAGATATATTCATTTGCCTTTTCGTACATACCTTCGTAATAATGGCAAGTGAAAGAAAAGCATCCAGAGTATTGGTGAACCAATAACTGATATAATTTTTTGCTTTAGCGTCTTAGCTCCTGGTAAGTAAAACAAAAGAGGTTCCATCATTGATATTTCCAAATCAGCTATTGTATTGGTCAATAGGTGGTGACTTAAAGCGTGACTTATTCTCCATTCTCTACAAAACAATGTTTTTAAATGCCTATATAAAACCAGTAATATTAGCATTTAAATCGCAGTAATTTCAAAAGATTTAAAGATTAAATTTTAAACTAAAACCATTCCTATAACAGAACGATTTTAAAAACCGCTATTAGATACTCTTTTCCAATACTTAATGGTCGTAGTTTTTTTTGCGTAGACTCTTTGTCATACATTCAGACACAAAATGGAAGAGTTAAATTAATAAAATCCATCACCAAACAAATAATGAATGAAAAAGAGAATACATTAAATGTTTAATTTCAAATAACAACAGGATTAAACAGGGTCACACGCTTCTCGCCTAGGGACCCATCAAGGCATTAAAAAAACCAGACATACACTAGGTCACGGTAAGGGAGTAAAATAACACAAAAGGAAAGAAAACAAAGGTAACGAGTTTAAGAAAAGTACTAATCACAAACGTATACCTGATTCAATTAAAAATTCATAAATGTTTGTGGAATTTATTTAAAATTAACGTTTAATTACCTTTTGTAAACACTTATATGAAATTTTGACTGGCTCTTAGATATTTTATGCCAAACATTACTTACCTTTAATCAAATCAGAAAATGAAATGAGCACATAGACCATACAGTTTTCTCAGTCGTGAATTCAGGTTTTTCTAATAGATACTTTTGGGGAAATAGTTTTCGGGAAAGAAAGGTCGCCAATAATTATCTTTTTTATAATCCCGAAATTTGAGCTCTTAATGTCTTGTTAAATTTTTTAAAATTCGCCAAAATTAGTGGCTAAAACGCCTCGTTAAGTGCTGCCTTCTATTATAACGCGACTGTAACTATCGTATCGTGTACTCTCAGTCATCATTCGTTTCCTGCAATTATTTACACACCAGTTTACAACAGAAGATATCCTGGTCCAAAAATGATAAAACATTGTACTGCTTGTATTCGCTTCCTAAACAAAAATGAATTCTGTTTTTCATGAGTCTCTTGTATGAGATATAAATCAAACTTTTAAACAACTATTTTTTAAAAATTTCCAACAATAAAAAATTAATTAATACAACAATTTGTAATTCCAGCAACACAAAAGAAAATACTAATCCGTATTGAACAAATCTAAATTAACTTTCAAGAATTAAACTTATAACTATCAAAAAGTAAAAATATAATTTCTATTTAGATCTTTTTTAATGACATTAATAACTTACCGCTAGTCGCAGCCAAAGACACTGGTGGATTATTCAACGATATGACGATAAAATTAATTCTTATAGAAGATTGGACGTCGACTGCCCAAATAAATCTCACACTTCGTGAAATTCCTCTTTCTCAGGAATATTGCGTGCGGCGATAATTAAATTTTAAATTATTTTAATACCAATTTTATACAGGATGTCACACATTCAAAATAACATTTTAAAAGAATTTTAAAATAAACTTTGGATATTCCAAGGGGAGCATATTCCACATTTAAGTAGATAGTTATATAGCTTGTCAGAGAATTTTTTGTTTTTAGTACAATTAAAGAAGATATGGCCTAGATCTCCTTTTTCATTACATGTCTAGCATTGGTCACTTTCAGAGACTCTAATTTTGTATAAATAGCTAGGATAACAGGCATGACCAAATTTAATCCTAATGATGGTCGATATGTACTTTCGCGGTATTTTATAATGCTTGTACCAAGAGATCTTAGGATTTTTTAACTGAAGAGTAGTATACCTCGTTGGATTTGTAAAACAATATTCCTGGTACAAGTGTTGCCATTTATTGAACTGATTTCTTAATAATATTGCACGTATTAGAACCTGTTACAAAGCTTTTTTTGGCCCAAATGTCTACATGTTCGTTGTGTTTTAGCCCAATGTGAGCCTTAATCTAAATAGGACAAGTCGATGTATTAGGAAGCCCATTTTTTTAATAGATGTTAAAATAGAGAGAGAATCTGATACAATAACTATCGTTTCTCTGCTGGAGGAAGAGGCGTAAATAAGTGCTTTATAGATGCAGCTTTCGCAATATAGATGGAACATTCTTGCCTAATTTTAAAAGATTTTCTATGTGCTCTTTAGGTTCAAAAAAAACACAGCTTACGCCATTAGCTGATTTGGACGCGTCCGTATATAATATTAAGGCATCTTCAAAATTACTTAAAATACAGAGTAATATATTGCTACTTATAAATATATTTTCTTCATAGTTTGGTTTAATAAAGGAAATATCTGAATGAAAGCTTAAAAAATCATTAATTTCACGAAGGTGGGTTTTTTATTGTTTTGTAAAGCGAGACAAAGTGGTGGGGATTTTTTAACCCAATTTTTTTTTTGGTGTGTCATGGGCTTCAATTGCTAAGGTTATCTCGCCTCGTGTTCTATGTAGGCTTTGTTTCTGTTTACCAGTGCCACTTTAGGAACAGCACTGTTAATTAGAATCCAACCGTGAATGGTCGAGTGGGGAATCCTACTAAGGCATCAGAATTAATTTTAAATAATTAAATTAAATAAAAAAATCCCGTCCAACGGTGGGATTCGAACCTGGGCACTTGGATCCGCAGGCAGAGACTTTACCACTGAGCCACCCACCCCCTTAAAACTCAATATTTATTAGTCAAATCATAACTATCTAATATAGTAATCTGATGAAATAATTTAGGATTATTGGTATAGATTGTAATTAACATTTTTTTACTGAGATAATTTCTTCTCATTTCCAAAGGAGGTTCCAGAGCTTCCACGTGTAAAAGTTGAATATGAGTAAACTTCGTGGCACCTAAGACTGTTCTTAGAGCAGAGTTCTGAAAAATATTGATTTTCTTAATAGGTTATTACTAGCCAAACCATATAATGTACATCTGTAATCCAATATAGAGCGAATATAAGCTCTATAAAATAACAGCAATTTTAATATTAGCAAAATTTACTCATTTCAATATGGGATTTCCATGTCAGATTCCTGTCCAAGTACCTCGCTTTATTTTGAATCATGAAATCGTCGAGTCCAAACATGATGTTATTCATAAGGTTCTTTCGTTCGTCCCACTGGTGTAGGAATGAACTACACCATCGGACACTCTACCTTTCGTTTGGCCCGGTATAAAATCCGCTACACCTTCCTGTCGGCGATGTGGTGGCCGCTGGTGGATATTTTCTCCACCAGCTTATCTATCAGGAATGAATAATTACACTCGACATGTATATGTATAAGGAATAAGGAGGAACTAAACTAGGTAAATAAGGTGGTGTAATTGACACTGGTGCACACCAACAGCGAACGAAAGAACCTATATATTAGGTGAATTGTGTCTTGTAAAAATACTTGTCATAGATTTGTTAACTGATAATTCAAAGCCACTTGTGTTCAACCATCTTTGTAAAACTAAATAAATATTTTTTTAAGTTTTCCAAGGCAGTTTCAATTTTTTGTGTTCCGTAGAAATAAAAACCTAAAATTAAACATTTTAAAAACAAAATGGCGGAACCCAATATGGATGACAAAAATTAAAAAAATATACTTTTATAAAATGTGGAATATAGGGCTTATCAAGGTATATGAATAAAAATCTGAAATTGAAAATCTAATATGGAGTATACAAATTATCAATTGTAATAAAATTTTGAATATAAAGTTTTGTGAGATTGCTGATAGAGACTCTGAAATAAAAAAAAATAAATAAAATGACGGATCCAATAATTAATTTAAATTTAAAAAATCAAACTTCATTTCCGGTAAAACCGGAAGTTGTCCATTTTGTTTAACAATAAGTGTCAATTCAAAAATACGTCTGATATGTTTTCCCAAATTTCCTAATCGATTTAAGTATACATAAAGAATTGCTACAGTTGAATTGTCGCACGGTATTCATTTACTCACCTCACTTGTAACATTGAAAACTGAAAATAATACATTCTATAATTATTCTTCATGTGTAAATAATTATGTGTAGCGATTGTAAGCATTCCTAAAATCAGTCCAGCTACTGCTGCTAGCCAAAAATTCCAATAATACGTAGCTAACGTTGACAAAAAGAACAAAATAAACACCATGGAATCACAGAAGAAGTTCGTATTGTTCACAGATTGTTTTGGTAAATGTTTCAAAGTTGGACGGATTTCCTTCTTTAAAGTCTTGTAAAAACCATTTTCTTCAAATGTAAATGGAGAATTGCGTTTGGTTGTTGCTTTTCTAACGAAAAACTTTTTCAACATTTCTTCGGGCAGGACTGAAAGGTGGTGGACTTCAAAAGCTTCAGTAATATCAATTCCCTAAAAATAATGATACGAAGTCGGTTTTCATTTACCACTTAGTGATTTATTTAATAAAATTTAATTTATTTTAGACGGTATAAAACACCAAACGTCGTAGTAGAAAAATTTTATGCAAAAGTTGTAGTTAACAATGTTTTCTATGATTTATTTTGTTGGGCCACTACGCTACGATGATAAATGCAAAAGTAGAGGGCACAAAAACTCGCTTTTTTTGTCTAAAAATATGTTTTATGCTAAAACTCTAAAAGAAAACATTATTTGGCTCTAAGAGCCCCGCATACCACATAATAATAGGGTAGTTGGGGGCAAAAATCCGCACTTTTAGTATTTGTCATATTTTGGACCCTTTCCATTTCTATAATGTACTTGAAATGTGTCGAAATGTTTGGTATGTTCATGCATGTACCTTTATATATGAAATTAAAACAAAATACTTGTTTTAAAAGAATTCAGGAATATAAACTTAAATATGGCCAAACGAGATCTTTGCCTCATTTAGTGAGGCAAAATCCGCAAGCGGATCTTTGCTCCTTTTGAATAAATATGTTTATGAATAGAATAAATAATAACCAACCACAATAAATCAAAAAACATGTATTTTAATAAAAAAACTTAAATACATATTTGGCAATATTGAAAAAAATAAACAAAATTCAAACAAATTCTTTGGGGAAATTCTAAAAATATAAAAAACAATTAAACTAATGCAACATTAAATCTGTAGAAAAACTAACAAAGTCCTTAAATATTGCAGAACTACCTTGCAATGGCTTGGAAAGTTTCCTAATAATATCGGTTTTATTTACATAAAACTCTTTCTGTCTCTGAAAATCGCATTGTATTAGGTGCCCTTTTGTAAAAAATTCCATGGCAGCCATCATCTTCTGTTGCAGTTATCCGAATTAGGTAGAGTCGGAATGAGTCTTTCGTTTTTCCATAAACTTTTACTACAGGAACTTCCCTACGTTGAGCCCAGATAACTCACTATTTAATTCGGAATCACTTTCGGAGTAAATCATATCGCTGCTGCTATCATGACGGGCATTTGAATATCTGAGTCTACTACTTCCACCCCGCGGCTTCGCTACCCTAGTATTTAACGGTGGAGGGCTAGCGATAAAAGTGCCAAGGTGCGGTTATAATTATTTTTTATTTTGAATTAAAAGGCTAAAGCCGTTGTTAGACCCAGAATAATGTAGGCATCAAAATAATATTCTAGCTCAGAGAAGAATCAGTGGTGAGTTTCCTTAAAATATTGCTTTTCAAGGTCAGCTATAAAGTCAAATCCAGATATATGAGCGCCACCGAATTTTGATCAAAGTGCTGAAGGCGGATCACAAATTATATGATTAACTAGTCGACAAAACGCGGAAAAGTAAACAACAATGGAATCGTAATATTTATAATGGCAGGCTAATCAGTTATTAACAAAATATAGTACATAAACGTTTGTTAACAAGAAGCCCTGTATTATAATTTTAAAATAGGATATATGTAAAGCTAATATGGAAAAATAAAACAGATAGTAGAGCGATACACTAGCTGGTATGATCATACGCGCTTTACACACCGTAGGACTGAAGTCCCACTATGTAACTACTATAGGCCCAATAGTGTTGGTTCCAGCCAAACCACGGAACAACTTAGTGACAAGCGTATTCACTAAGAGCTGGGACGAATCCTCGAAAAATGGATTCGAATCACGAATCCGAATCACGAGATGTGATACGAATCACGGATCCAATGTTCGAATCCTTTTTCATAAAAAAAGGATTCGAATCACGTGATTCGAATCCTTTTTTTCGGATCACGGATACGAATCACTGTCAGTGTTACACTGTGGCACTAATTATTATATTTGCTTTCGAATCTAATGCTGTTTTATATATCGGTCCTAAAATATTTAACGCACTTCCGGTGGAATTTAAAAACCTAAATTCGATAGGTCTTTATAGATCTAAATTGCAACAATGGATATTAACTAAACAAGGACAAATATTTTAAGATTTTATTAATTTAAATATAACTAAAATCTAAAATCATTTAACTAAAAAGAACTTTACTTATTTGCAATTATCCAATTATTTATGTGTATGATAATTATTTATAAAATATTCAATGCTGTTGCTAATTTGTATCTATAATAAATAAAAAAAAATAGTAAAAAAAAGAAATGCTATGTAGAATATATTTCTATAAGTCCCACGTACAAGATTCGCCTTTAGTGGTACCAATTTCTGTTAAATATAAGTTAAAATTGTAATTCGATTTTTAAAGTGAATAAATGATTATTATTAATTATTATTATTATTATAAACCATTTTATTTTTTTGGTGAAATGGCTTTGGTGGATTCTACCCAAGTAGCCAGTGTCAGTTTGTTTTGAATTTTATGTTTGATCTATGCAGGCTTTATTAATGATTCTCAGTGCCACTATATGAGCAGCACTGTTAATTAGAATCCAACAAGGTCGATTGGGGAATCCTACTTATGCATTAGAATTTGTTTTTAATTAATAGAAAAAATTCCATCACTGACAAAATTCAAACCTGGGATCCATGGATCTGAAAGTCCTGACTCTAGCCCCCTATGAATATAAACCATAAATAAATTAGAATCTATAAAAAATACATTTTATTTTAATACACAAAACAAAATAATAAACAGAATCAAATAAAATTAAAAAAAATTTATAGTTTTTCAAAAAATTTCTTTTGGTTACATAGCAAAATTTTCATCTGTCAAGCCGTTCCTTCGAGGTGCGTCGATTATACCTGCAGACGAAAATAATCGTTCGACTGCACCAGACGAAGGAAGACTAGTATTAAATTTTATAAAAAAAAAATTTAATGTTGGATATTCATTGATCATTTGTAAATTACTACGTTTATCTTCTAAATATCTCAACAGCTTTAATTCGATTTTTGAAGTTGTTTTATTTTTAGGTGCTGATAATGAATAGGAGTTTCTTGCCTTTTCGCTATTGTTATTTGACATTGGCTGTACCTTGTCTTCACTAAAATCAAAGAATTGATCTAAATTTGTTGTGTCACTCTCATCTGATAATACATCAGAGTTTGACTCGTCCAAATCTTTAGCTTCGTCTATAATAAACTTTTTTATCTCCTCTTTAGTATAAGTAGGACATTTTACGATATTATACCATCTGAATTTAAATTGGGGAATTAAAACGGCTGCAATTACGGCTTCTTTACAATTAAGCGACAGTATGTCAGCAAATCTTTTGCGCGCCGGCGTAGTTTGGTCTCTAAAAGGATCCGAGACTGATATTGATGATTCGAATACGAATCCTTTAGGATTTTCTCTGCGAATCCGGATCACGGATCCTTTTTTTCTAAAGTATTCGAATCCCGCTCTCGGATCCTCAAAAAGGATTCGAATCCTATGTGATTCGAATCCTCCCCAGCTCTGATATCTAATAACTCAAATTGGTCATAGTAACAAAATAATATCGATAATACCAATCGTAATATTATTAATAATGGTAATATTAGTAGTGCTAATATCAAGGGCACAAAGAAAATTAATAATAAAATTATTAGTGATAATATTAATACCGATAATAAAAAAACTAATAGCGAGAATATTAATAACGTTAATATTGATAGTGCTACTAATTAATAATAAAATTAATAGTGATAATAAAACAAATTAAAAATGATATCCTTATTCGGTACTTAGCTATGGATCTGGGTTCCAGCCAGATCAGTCCAATGTTCAGGGTGTAGCTCCAATCTATCACCCATTCGATGAATATTCCACGATCCCAGCCGGTATAGACGGGAACACCAAAATTGAAACTGCGTCGAATAAAATAGGAAACGAAAACCAAAAAACCCAAAATTGGAACCAAAAGAAAAGGGAAAACCCTAGAAGAAATAAGAAAAGCCGATATAACAATCAAACATATTTACAAAAGATTATCAATAACCTTACCTCAGTTCGATGAGGGTTTTTTTCCAAAATGGAGGATGCGTGGTCTCTTGAAGAAATTTGTTCGGTGGTGATTAAACCAAAAATAGAGGTATAATTAAATCCCTTCCGGCAAAAATAACGACTGCCAAATATAAGACAAGCTATCAGTCGAAATTCCAAAATAGTTGTACAAATCAAATCCCGTTTACAACGGTAAAACAAATCAAATCAAAAATCGAACTCGCACAAACACAGCTATTCACTCTGAAATCGTCTTCAAAAAAAAACACGTTCCTCTTAATTTTACTAAATTAAGATGGCTTGAAAACTATTGCCAATCAATTTTTATAATTCAAAATTTTGGAATATAAAAATTATATTTAAAAAAAACTATTAAACTAGGAATTTTCGTACCAAAAGGTTGACGATACTGATTTAACATAAACCGAGAAGTATTAGAGATACGTCCCCATCAAGAATTTCCTCTATCCTTGTCAGTCTATTTAACAAAGCACACTGCGTGTGAACAACACACTATCGTATTGGTAGCGAGTTCGCCGTAAGGAACGTCTCTTCGCGTTGCAATACATACATAGAAAGACGATGCCTCAAGCCGAGGCTCAACGAACTTTTGACTTGTTTACAAAATATACATTGAAAATGACTAGGAATTTAAATATAATTTAAACCCTGAAAACTTAGATTTTACGATGGGAATACGAAGGATTATTATACTGGCCTCAAGTAGTATAAGTACTTTAAATATAACATATAATTTATTTCATTTACAAACAATATTTTATTGTAGCAGAACATAATATGCAGGGACTTAATTACTGATGAAAATGAAAAACGAAATGGAGCAACAGGAATTAAAGTTAAAATATCTAAATCTAATATATATATATATATATATATATATATATATATATATATATATATATATATATATATACACACACAAAACGAGACCTAATTATATCAACCTTCATAAAATAAAGTGATTAATATATGTGTAATAATTTATGTGAATTCCAGACCATAACAAGTCAGAGGACAAT